GAGGTGAGGCTACAGGACCTGAACCTGGTCAGCTTCCACAAGAGAAGGCTGAGGGGGGATCTAGTGGCCTGTTACAAACTAGTCAGAGGGGACCAGCAGGCACAGGGCAAGTCCCTGTTCCCCCGAGCACTCCCAGGAGTGACTAGAAATAACGGTCACAAGCTGGCAGAGGGTAAATTCAGAGTAGACATCAGGAGGCGCTACGTCACTGTCAGGGCAGCTAGGATCTGGAACCAACTTCCAAGCGAAGTGGTGCTGGCTCCTACCCTGGGGGTCTTTAAGATAAGGCTAGACAATCACCTTGCTGGGGTCATTTGACCCCAGTACTCTTTCCTGCCATGGCAGGGGGTCGGACTTGATGATCTGCTCAGGTCCCTTCCAACCCTACTAACTATGAAACCATGAAATTTGGTAAGAGGTGCCATTCCGTCAGGGATATGCTGTTGCATTCCTCATAAAAATATGCCAAATTTGGAAAAAAGTACCCAAATTTCATGTAGATTCAGCAGAGGCAACTAAGACTCCCCAAATATCAGACATGCTCCACGCCCGAGACTACAGTGATGACTCCGGGCTGTCATAGGGCGTGCTAGGTCCAGCCACATGAACTCAGTGCAGGAAGACTCTCACATGCATGCTTTCACTTAGTTTTTTGTTATGATAGAGATAAATGCCCAATATGGAAGCACCTAATAGAGATATTCTATAATAAATTAAGACAGTCATATTATACTTACAGCAGCGGTTCTCAACCTTCTTTTGTCTTAAGGTACACCTCAGATATTGCTAACTCTTAACTTCAATTCATTTCTCGATTACAGAAAAAGTAACAGAAATTCTTTTGTCGCGAAATCAGAAAGACTACAACAGTCCAGGATATTTTTGACATTATGGATTCCTACTGGAAATCTGGATTTATCTCGTGAATCACATGTAGGTGTTTGCATGCCTACTATTAAGTGGCACCTGAGGGTACCATGGTATACTGGCTAAGAATCAATGACTGAAAGTTATGGAAATAAGTTTAAATATTTAATATCTCCATTAATAGCACATGGAAACTGAACTATTTAACACATTTTTCAAATGTTTTTGATAATCTTTTCTGAGCGTATGCAATTTTATAATTATTGTTAGTTCTGAGGATACACACTAGAGTTTAGGGATACTGAAATAGTAGCATGGCAAGTCAGAAAGCTATGGTCAAAACAAAACTCTCTTTTAAAAAAATTGTTTTCTTGCTTCTTCCCAATGAACATGCCAATTTCATCTGAAATTTACAGTCAATAAAAATAAAACCTTTTCTTCTAGAAAAGTTAAATGATACTAAAATAGGCAAAAAGCAAATACTGAAATATAAATGAAAATAAATGCCCAAACAGAACCCATTAGATCAGTACTTTAAAGGTACCAAGCTATATTTAATGACCAATAAAATGACATAAGTTCACTGAACTATACAGCTTTAAGAAAGAGCTAAATATCTTTCAGCAAACATACCTTCTCCAGAATAGTACTCAGTTGGGACAATATTTTCATCCCAAATAATCTTCTCTGTGGGATACAGAGGCATCTGGTTGAGCTGCTGAATCTGCGATATTCGACGCTCATGACGGGACACCTGAGAAAGAGAAAAGCCCTATTTATAGCAAATGACTCTTAAAAGCTCATTGAAGTTAACAGACCAGGTCCATAAAGAATATGGCAGGGTCCCAGTGATATATTATCAACATTCTGAAACATTTCAACTCCAACTGAACACAAATGAAACCAAACAAAGATATCATCACAGATTAGTTAACATGTAGTCCAGTAGTATCAGGTCACATATGGCTTGAGCACAGAACATGAGAATGTCTCACTGCAATTTGGGTGTCTTGGTTTAAGAATTACCCAGGGTGGGGGTAATGGGGTGTTAAGAAATATATTTTTACTCCACAAAAGACAATGGTAGACATTTAAACCAACCTACAGATGTCCTGTCCCAGCTAATTAATCAAAAGAAAAATGAAGTTGGAAGCATTTAGCTAAAATTCCCCAGAGCTTAAAGTTAAAACGAAGGTAAAGGACTTTTTGCTATCTTTTTCCCCAATGTCAATCTTTGTTTACAACAGTTATGTTTGATATTTTACGTTCAACAATATTTATAAAAACCCACATTTGGAAAAAAAATCCACCTACTAAGATCTTTTAATGGCAGCAGGAGCATTCACAATTAGACTTAGTGTTGCTTATATACAAATACGGAAAAATACCTTGAAAATTTAAAATAAAGTCAGATACATAAAAATGAAACTCTGAAAAGCAACCAGACCAGTGGATACATTAATATGCCACATATCTTAACTGACCATTTCAGAATTCCTTGGTCCCCCCTTCTCTCTACCAATGTTACAGAAGTGTCTCTCATTGGTGTACTTAAGTTGAGCTTTTTTAAAAACCACCTAAGGTATCTGAATGTTCAGTTGTCAACTGATGTCTAAATCCATCTAGGGCAGTGGTTTTCAACCTGTGGTCTGTGGACCCTATCACCAATCAAAAGTATGTGAATCTCCACACTTACAATTCAAAGGAGTCTGGCCTGCCATTCAAAATTTTTTAGGGGTCCACAAATGAAAAAGGCTGAAAATCACTGATCTAGGCAGCTTTCAACATTAAAGCCCATCTGTATTTTTATGCAAGTCTAGGTAGCCTGATATGAAAGCATGTACATGTTTATCAGCTCTCAAACACCTGCCTCCAGCACTCTCCTGACAGCCTCCAACATTATTGTGGCTAAGAAATGAGACTACTTTGTATTTTCCCATTTAAAGAAAGATGAGTGGTTAACTTGATTTCAAATTATAGAATAATTTCCAATTTTCCAAATCACTATATTACTGTCATTTGTAAGTAATTTTCTCAGTTAAAAGCTCCTACATAGCCTACAGTATTATAGTTTCAGTGACCATGTCTACATGAGATGCTGACTGCGCAGCAACATCACATGGCAAAAAGCGTGATGTGACGCTACTGCGCAGTAGTCTTGGGCTACTGTGCAGTCAGCATCACAAAAAGCTGTTCCTTAGCGCTACTAACTGCGCAGTAACTCCAGTTTCAGTTCAATCATTTAGTACCTGTTTATATAAACAGGTACCAAATGACCATCTTCAAAAAAGGGAGGAAGGAGGACCCGGGAAACTATAGGCCAGTTAGTCTTACCTCGATCCTAGGCAAGCTGTTCAAGAAAATTATTCTGGCACACATCCATGTGAGGCCAGCAGGGGACTGCATGCTTAGGGGCAACCAACACGGGTTCATCAGTGGCAGGTCCCATCAGACCAACCTGGTGGCCTTTTACGATCATATCACCAGATCATTAGATGCAGGGGTAGCAGTGGACATAGTCTTCCTGGACTTCCGGAAGGCTTTCGACACTGTCTCTCACCCCGTTCTCATTAAGAAACTGGGGGGCTGTGGTGTAGACACCCACACAGTC